ATCTTTGCATAATAGTTTATACTAGTACTGTATTGTGTAATTGCGAGTGTAATTGTTTACTCCGTTACACAGTAACGTTTTGTTAATGTTACTTATTTTTGAAAGACATTCTAGTTAGCTATCCTTATCACTATAAGACTAAGTGCTTCAGTTATTATTAATAATTAAGTGTTAGTAGATGGACAGGAATATTCGACTAACGGAAATTTACACACTTTTTAAGACCTACTCAGTTGTGTGTGAGAAGGCAAAAATCTATGTCTATATGTGCTTCAGGTAGTCTAGCAACTATTTGCCACGTTTACTCAGTAATACTACCACTTGCAAGTGATGAACCAGGCGGGAATCGCAATCGTAGTATAAAGATTAATGCTCAGCCGCATAACGTACGCAAAAGAGCCATATATAGACAATAATAAATATATACATAAAGTAATACTAATTACTATAGATTATCATAAAGTAATCAGTACTATACCAATTATATAATAATGTATCATACATTCGTATTTTATAAAGTATGATGACTATGAGAGTTTTCGTGTTCACTATGGCTGAATACATTTATTAAAAGCTAAAACTGACACAGACAAAATACATTGTAAACACAGCCTATTTAGGCAGGCGCTAAACCGGTGTAAACTATTATGCAAAGATGAACAATACCGTCATTAGTATTTTTGCGCAAGTGAATAAATAGTACAACAAATCCTACAAGTTGTCAAGTTGATTGGTCAAATTTGACAAATTCCCTAGCCTCCTTCGCAGACATCAGAGAGAACGTACACAACTGGCGGCTGCGAGGGAGACTACAAATTCCCGGATAATCACGGCCTCGCCTTGGGCGAATAATTGTTCAAAGCCAAAGGCGCAATAATAATCGCGTGTAGTTTATACTTATACGTGATAGTTTCTCAATATTTTGTATTTGCCAAGCTACTTTTGCCGCAATTGTTTCTATATAAATCTATTATATATACGATAAAGAAGAAGTTCTGCAGTAAACTGTACTATACATACTATAAATACAAATATTATAATAAAATTTAAATATTAACTTAAAAATATTACTGAGATGATCCTGTTATCCCACAAGCTATATCTATGAAATTGCACTGGTATACCTATATAACTGACAGTATTTTTTACCTTGAATATTGTATCATGCACAAATTTTCGTTCTCTGTTTAGATTTTAATTAATATAATTATACGAATATTTTAAAAATATAATTTCAAAATCGAAAGTCCAAAGTCCATAGTCCAAAGTCCAAAGTCCAAAGTCCATAGTCCAAAGTCCAGTCCAGTGTTTACAATATGCCGTTCTAAAACCATTTCTTTCACTTCGTCTTCGAGTTGTAAAACAAAAGTATTTCAAATTTTCAAGGCCAAGCGGTTTTTGGCCGAGCAAATTGTCAAGACATTGTAACAGAGGATAATTAATTATTGCTATATATATATATCTATATATCTATATATCTATATATATATATATATATATATATATATATATATATATATATATATATATATATATATATATATATATATATATATATATATATATATATATATATATATATATGTATGTATATGCTTCAAAAGCCGATCAGTAGGACAATCCCAATTCATCGATTTAGGAAATATAGCTTGCGTGGTGACCAAGCATCAATTATTATTAGATAGATAGATTTTATTTAGATTTATTTTGACACGCTAACTACGTCAATTAAAAACATTGATTTCCACGAAGGGCGTGTGTTCAAAAGTTATTATATATAAATGTTGTTATGACTCTTATGGAATCAAATAAAAGAAAATAGAAATAATCTAACTGTTCCAATTGACAAAATTGACAATATAGACAACTAACAAAACATATAGATAACTATTTACAATAAAGGATTTATATATGTGTGTATAAATATATTATTTAGTAACATGAGAGGCAATTTTTCTTTCAAATAGAGACTGGGACCTAATTCCTCTGATTTCTTTAGGCACTGAGTTCCATATTTTTGCCCCATTAAACATAAAACTCTTTTTCATGCTATTTGTGCGGGGCTGTGGCAAAACGAGTGTTGTTTCATTGTCACGGAGACAGTAATGTGTATTCTCATTCTTGTAGGTAAAAAGGTCTGTTAGGCTTTTAGGCCCAGACATATTCAAAATTTTGAACATTAATTTTGCCTTAGCTTTAGTTCTTTGTACTTTTAGTGTCTCCCATCCTAACGAATTTAATGCAATTTGGGCATTAACTTCGTTACCCATGTCCATAATAATTCGAGCGCATCTATTTTGAAGCTTTTGTAATCGTTGTGATTGAGTTTCACCAAAAATGTCCCACACTTCACAACAATAAGTAAAGTATGGTTGTACAATTGCATTAAATATAGAAACAAGTGTATCACGGTCAACAAATTCTTTTAGTTTTCTAATAACAGAAATGGCTGATGTGATTTTCTTACGGATACTCTCAGTATTACTTTTCCAAGAGAGATGCTGATCAACTATTACTCCTAGTGTCTTGCATTCCTGCACTTGTTTAGTTGGTCTGTTTTCAATCATTATGTTTAAATTTGAATCTGAAACAGTATGCACTAGAGATCTTGATCCAATGAGCATAAATTCAGTTTTGGCAATGTTTAGGCTCAGTTTGTTCGCGTTTAACCACATTCTGAGGTTTTCCAAATCAGAGTTCACTGCATTTTCAACATCATTAATTGTTCCACCGGAAGCAGTTAGGTTTGTGTCATCTGCAAAAAGTCTTGGCTTTGTCCTATTTAGGCATTAAATGGAGCCTAAAATGGAGCCTAAAATGGAGCCTTGAGGAACACCACATTTAACTTTGTGTTCAGACGAGGCAACACCATTTACTTGGCATTTTTGGGTGCGATTAGGAAGATATGATCTCAACAATTAACAAATGTGCTTTATCCTTAATACCGTAAATTTGCATTTTCTGAAGTAGAATTTCGTGATCTACGGTGTCAAATGCTTTTTTTAGATCTATAAAAACTACTAAGTTAACCATTTTGCGATCCATGTTAACGTACCAACTACTTGTTGAATCTAAAAGGGACGTAGCGGTAGAGTGAAACTTACGAAAGCCAAATTGCTTATCAGAAAGAATTTCGTTTTCAGTTAAATAATCATACAGCTGGTCGTACAGTAATCTTTCCATGATTTTGCTTATGACTGGTAGTATTGATATTGGCCTGTAATTACCAGGAATATTACGATGTCCATCAAAGTACATAGCCATTGAAAAATTTTGTGAAATAAAAGCCCTAGGGTCTTATAAATTGCTATAGTTTTTAATAGCGACGTTTCGTAGCCCCGACTTGACTGGACCTAATGTAGTTAATTTTAAATTTTAAACATTAAAACCGTTGCGATCGACACAAATTGACTTCTCTCCTCGAGTTGCAGTCGAGTTTGTTTCCTTGTTTATATCATTGATTCCTATAAAGGTTGACGGCGTTCATTTGACACGTGACTCAATGCAAAATTATCGGTCCACTCAAGTCGGGGCATTTATAATATACGATAAACTTTAAGAGTTTTATCCCTTGTCACTTATTTATATCTTGCCGCCTCTTATTTCACGCAAATCGCGCGCGTCTCCCACGCGCGTATCCTGAGAACGGGCTGTCAGGTTCGAAAGGCGGTGCTTTTACATAAGCTAATAATAGATCTTAAATAAATAAACTGAGAAACATACAAATACAAATCAACTTATATGTTGTTATTTTATGTTCGACTATAGGAGTATTATTATTATTATATGACATATTAGTGTTATGTAGTGTTATAATTAAATTCAAAGGCAATATAAAGACACTAAAATAAATAAACTGAAAAACATACAGCACAGACACAGATCAACGCTTGGGCTCCCTGTGTAATGACTAATGGAGCTTTCATCTTTAATAGCTAACAAAGAAGTTCATGATTCGTTTGACAGGATGATTTGTAAATTTTTTATGACTGAAAACCTTTCAATTCAGTTAGTCACCTGTCCCTATTTGATGTATGGTTTGAATGATATATGAACAACATCTCTCCGTTGCAATAATTCCTCTGAAAATAGAGTTCCTAAAACTCTAAAAGGTACGGATACAGGTGTTTTTTACGTCGTTACGGAAAACTATCAGGTACAGTGTAAATGTAGCCTTATTGTCCTCTAATGCTCTGTTAATATTCTATGGAAATATATATGTCGAAGAGTGTCTTAACGGTCGATTCTTTCGAGTTTTCCTCGGACTGAATTAGACCCCACCGACAATTAACCGACAAACAGTAGCAGTAGCATAATTCAAAACTATCCAGTATGAACAAATGCATATATATGCACAAACTCATGCAGTTTTATGTCACGCGAACTGCCAAGTACAAACGTAAACCAAAGGCATTTTTAAATTAAACTGCATTTAACACCGAAAGAATAATATTGAAACAAAATGAGCCAGATATACAAACTAAAAGAAACAACTCTATAAATAGACTATAACGGTAATATTATATTTTGTTTTGCTTAAATTTTGCAATAATTACCACGACAGCATCTCTTGAAAATCCTAAAGTGCAGTAACAAAGCATATATATATATCGATAACGAACCACAAAACTCAAATTTGTCAACAATTTGAACTTCGCGATCGTGACCGTGTGAAATAAAACTGACATGTCAACTCCAGCTATTTTCGGTCAGTAAATATCAACATGTACAAATGCTCTTAACAATTCTTGTGGCAGCTGCAACTTAATGACTGATACACAGTGGCCACTGTGGACCGCCGTTATAACGACGAAAGTGTAATTTATGTCTGAATTCTACATCCTTTCTTCAGCCATTTCTAACGGGAAGACATGCAGGTTTTGGGCGTCATTGTCCGTTCTAAAAATACGTTACGAAATCAGATGTTTACGAAAGCAGATCTATTATTGGGTTGTGCATTGGCATAGTTGTGGCATATAATTGTTAATTCTTACTCTTAGATTCTGGCAATGCTTGGAAACAGATATCTCCAACCATGGATATGTCAGTTTTGGTTGTCGCTCATATCATCGCGTGTTATTCATATGACGACAACTCCCGCCATTGATGTAGATAACCCTGGCAATCTTACCCTTGGTGGACTATTCGTCCTAACTGAGATTAACGAGAAAAGCAAATGTCTTAACACAATTTCTTTGGATGGTCTAAGATCTTTACTAGCTATGCAGTTTGCTGTGGAACGTATCAACTATGACGACACCATTCTGCCAAACATTACTCTTGGAATTAAAGCAGTTGATACCTGCTTTAGTCGTGTTCCAGCGCTGGAATACACCCTTAAGCATTTTGTGCTTGGTAAACATAAGGGCAAACTAAGTCAATATCCAATTGCTGGACTTATTGGACCTGCACTGAGTTATGAAGCAGTTTATATATCAAAGGTAAGTCGGAGTTACTCCGACCCTGGTTAAATACAAAGATCCTTCAAGTCAATTCAATCATACAAAATCAGCACTACCGCTGTACATGTAGATTCAAGACGATAAAATTAACCAATGACTGCAATGCTTTCAATCGCAGCAGGAAATATTATATACACATGTTCACACATGGTGTTTAATCATGTTTCAAGTGACATTTTAACTGTTCGCCTTCTAGAATAAAAAAAACAAACCAAAAAACAACTAAATAATAAATACTTATAATAAATACTTCCTCCAACCAGCTTAAAAGAAACATTAAGGACACGTTCAAACACTGTTTAGGGACAAAATTTGACATAGACATGTCATGCATGCGGACATTATATCTTATTGGATTCTTCTGGACCCAATATGGAAAAAATATTAAGTCGAGACTTCAATATTGGGCGAGACCGAAGGTCGAGCCTAATATTGAAGTCGAGTCTTAATATTTGCCATATTGGGCGAAGATGAATCCAACAAGAGTTTTATTATATCGAACGAAACAATTCTATAACAAAAAATGTCAATAAGCGATAAAGTAATACAGCAAGAATACTACAGCGACAACATTACTACATATATTGGCGGCGAATTTGCTTAAATAACTAAGACTACGTTTACACTAGAGCAAACGTTTCCGGATTTGTAAAAGTATCCGGATTCCTTGTTTTTCAAGTATATGGATCCGCGAGGCGTTTACACTGCACAGCCCGACACAGCGGTGGTCAATATAACGTAAATAATTTTAACCCTCTTAGTACTAGTGATATTATGCGATGTTTTGACCCTGTTTGGCGGTTGAATTTATTAGCAATACATTTGAAAAACATACACCGGAACAAATTGATTCAGATTCTTTACGGAAAGCCGTTTACACGAGAGTTTTCTCCGGATTCAAATGTTTCCGGATACAAAGTTTCTACTTTTCCCCCCGGATTCAAAGTTTTCGGATACGTCCTATAACCGAGATGATTTTCCACCGGATTCGTCGCTGTATGTGTAAACGCATGTATGAATCCGATGCCAAAACGTTTCGGTTTTGTCATGAATCCGGAATTCGAATCTTTCGCTCTAGTGTAAACGGGGTCTAAACAAAAAGTTAATAAACCTGTTTTTACAAATATGTGTGTATAAATAAACTCATTTCCATGTATGTTTAAAGGAAATTTGACCTAATTTTAACGAAAAAAATAATATTACTAACTTTTAGGCTGTTAGACAAATAAATTTCGCGAAGACAAGTTTTTCTGCGCTTTTATAATTTTAAACAAAACTGGTAAAAAAAAACTGGATTAATGTCCCACATTATTTTCATTACTCTGCCATATCGCTTGTTGTATGTTTGAAATTGACAAAACATTGAAAAGGGTTGAAAACCATGAAAAAAGCCTCAATTCGCAACTGTCCAATAGGTTTCTGTCCAATGTCGTAAAATATTGGATCGGCACGTGACCCTCTCAACGATTACTGATTGGTTAAGTGCGCGTATAAGTGTATAATAATGGTGCCTAACTGCTCTTGCCACAAGTTCTAATTTTAAATACAGTTGTACTGTTTATTTCTTGTCAATCTTTGAACATTGACATTGTAGACTGAGTCTGTTATATGTTCTATTGTGGCGGTGAGCACCGGGTTTGGGTCTTCTACAAATTGTGCTTATGTTGTTATATATTCGAGTTTCTGTTTGTCAGTTGTTGTATAACTTAAGGTGGCGATACCAATATGTCAACTTGTCCTCAAGTTATAAAAATAGGTACGTAATAGGTAAAATATTTTTTTAATTTATATCACATGTACAAGTATATATTATATAGTATATATTATAGACTGTACAGTTTCTGAAGGTTTTCAATTGAAAATAGATGTTTAATAATGATGTTAGATTCTAGTATTGAATAAAATAATGAGATTTGGTTTTCATAGTGAATAAAATAGCTGCTATAAATTCCACTTGCAGTGGTGTAGCCAGCGTGGCCGGCTCTTTTATAAGTAGAGCCTGCCCGAAAGCCCTAGTAAAATGCATAGTACAAAACATGGACTGGACTGGACAGTTGGACTGGACTGGACAGTTGGACTGGACTGGACAGTTGGACTGGACTGGACTGATTTTTGATTTTCTCTATTCTTGACTTGCACGTCACCCGCCATGTCAGGTGGCATGGCACAAAAGAATATTTATCACATAATAGATATGTCTATTTTGTAATTTTATCAAATTCAAATTTAATTAAAAATTTTATTAACACTGTTTGATATCATTACATTTTTTTTTTAAAAAGTACAGGAAGAAAAATAAAGTATATTGTAGGAGTTAAAGATAATTAAATATATGAAATTTCAAACCAAAAAAGTAGTGGTGAGCGACAGCCAGAGGAGCAAAGCTTTCGAGCTGGTTGCCGCAATGTCAGAGTAATGTAAGCCGATTTAGCTCTCAATTTATTTAGTATAGAATAACAAATAAGCAATCAAACACAAGAAAATAAAACTAATATATAAATATTCGAGATAAAGTAGAAGAGATCTGAAGTAGTAGATTATTCCTGATTATAAAGTAGAAAGTTTTTATACTCCTTTTTGAAAGAATTAAAAGGGAGTGATTTAAGGAAAACGGGTATAGTCTCCCATAATTGAGAAGCAAAAAACTTAAATGAAAATTTGCCATAGTTTGTTCTAGCAGCTGGCCGATAGTAATTATCTTGGGATGCATACCTTGTATTATAAGAATGCACACTAGATATAGGTACTAACAGTTCTGAGAATAGTTCTGGAATTTCATTACCTCTGTTCCTTATTTGACTCACAAATGTTGCTGTTTTAAATTTAATCAAATTATCCAGCTTTAAGATCCCAAGTAATTTGTAATATGGACTCGGATTCTCACGTCTATTTGCGAAAAATATACACTTAACAAATTTGCTCATTAAGCCGTAGCTCAGATATGGATAGATAAGAGTGTAATAAAGAATAGTTAACATGTGTATATTAAGATAACGTTGTATAGTTGAAATAAAATTCCTATATTCTTGGCTATTTTGCTATTAACATGTGTGATTTGATTATGCCATTGAAGATGCTCGTCAATATAAACACCAAGATATTTTATACAACTTGTACGAGTAATATTAGGAATATCAATTAAAGTATTTCTTCTTGGTCTTGATGTTATTAGCATATAATTTGTCTTTTTGAAGTTTATTGAGAGTTTATTTGCTGAACAGTACTGATATACTTTAATTAATTCATCATTTATAACATTTTGTAGTATATTAGGGTTTTTTGAGGAATAGAATATATTTGTATCATCAGCAAATATTTTAAATTGTAATATGTCAGAGGAGTTTGGTAAATCGTTTATATAAAGAAGAAAGAGAAGTGGGCCAAGTGTTGATCCTTGTGGTATACCACACGATGAACATTGTCTGGTGTGTACCAGGAGGAGATTGGTTGCAAGTCATTAATATAACGTTTTGCACCTGAATTACTTTCGGAATTGATTTTCGGAAATTGAAATACTTTACCTTCGCCGGTGACCTCACTTTATAACTGGAGTGAAATCTCTTAAAGCGAAAGAAACCCCAGTGGGTAGAATAGAATACAATACCAAACATAAACTACTTATCTGTCTTTGCTATGGGTAGCCTGCTCGCATACGTATTAAATTTCGATATTTCAGTCTGCATGGCCATGGGCGTAGGAAGATCGATATTTTGGGGGCTCATATTCGTATATTCGTGTTCTGCATCATTTACTTCTTTTGAAATTGATTGCTTTATGAATATATGAATATGAGCCCCCCAAAAATACCGATCTTCCTACGCCCATGGCCATGCAGACTGAAATATCGAAATTTAATACGTATGCGAGCAGGCTACCCACAGCAAAGACAGATAAGTAGTTTATGTCTGGTATTGTATACTCTTCTACTTACTTGGGTTTCTTACTGAGATTTCACTCCAGTTATAAAGTGAGGTCATCGGCGAAGGTAAAATATTTCAATTTCCGAAAATCAAAAGTAATTCAGGTGCAAAACGTTATATTCTTGACTTGCAACCAATCTCCTCCTGGTACACACCAGACAATGTTCCGATCGATAAAATCACAAAATAGACATGACATGGTATATCTATTCTGTGATAAAATATTCTTTTGTGCCATGCCATCTGACATGGCGGGTGACGTGCAAGTCAAGAATAGAGAAAATGTAAAAATCAGTCCAGTCCAACAGTTCAGTCCAGTCCAACTGTCCAGTCCAGTCCAACTGTCCAGTCCAACTGTCCAGTCCAGTCCATGTTTTGTACTATGCCCATTTCAAGTCATCATTTATACAAAACTATTTCGAGTGGGCGGTGTTAATATGGAATATTAACTAAGTAGGCGGTATCAATTTTACTAGGGCTTTCGGGCAGGCTCTACTTATAAAAGAGCCGGCCACGCTGGCTAGCAGTGGTGTTTCCATACTGACTGTAAAAAAGGTTTCCTTAGGTCAACTAAGTTGCGATGTGATTGTTGATACATTAAGTGAGATGTCACAGAGATAACTTGACAATCTTCTTTATTATCCATACAATGACAATATTCAAAACATTTTAGATGCCATATGGTCAGGATAGCAGATGTTGTCACTTGTCAATCCATACACGTAGAATTTTCAAAACAATATTAAGTAAAACTTCTGTCACTTGTTAATTACACTTGCCACTGATCATTAGAGAATGTTTTGAAGGTCATGAGTGAAGTATATAATTCAATTCCAGCCCTGCACACAGTTAATGATATAGCACACTGTTCGGTATAATTTCAACACAGCATATCCACACAAAAATTTGTGTTGTGGGAGAAAATCCGTGTGAGTAGAAGCCATCCATTTGAGTACAAGTGTGGTTTTGTACATTGTATGCCAAGATCAGATCCATCCATACGATTATTGTAGCTGTTAAAGTTATTTTCGTATAGCCATACTAATGAATTTAGGTAAGATTCGGATTGTTCTGATGAAATTTCAAATTATCCAGCAAATATATCTGGTACATATATTCGTCATTGTTGTATTAATTTCTAAACAAAAAACATTTATGTTAGAAAGCAAGTAAAGCAAAATGACAATGTAATGAGGAGAGGGGGTGTAAAAAACTTAATGCTTACCTGGTGATTCTGTTATTAGCATTTGAAAATTAGTTAAATGTGTTGAAATCTAATGTGTAAAACCAAAATGTGTAAGTATTTAAGTGAATTGTGTCCATGCAGTGACTCCCGTCCCAAAATAGAAATATTTCTATTAAGACCTTGCTAAGTTTGCTTCAATGAAAACAATTAATTAAGGCACAAACTGCTTTATGATCTGAGAAATAAGTTTCCAAAATGTGTGAACTAACTTAATTGTGACTCTGGTACATTTGTATAAACATGATCTATTAATGTCCGATTGTCTGTAGTAGCATTAGACACCAATTGCATATAGTTATAATGATCATTGATAAAAAATCTATCTAAAGGCCTTCTAGAAGATTGGCTTCATCCAAACAATTGATATTAAAATCACCAATGAAAATGTTATATTGAGAAGTACAGAAGTTCAAAACTTCATCTATATGCTGCACACAACCGTTGTACTACTGGAATTCTGGGTGATTGATATACAGCTAACTGCATTAAGGTTGTCCGCCGACAAAGCTAAAAGGTAAAAGCCAAGCGCGAAAAGTACGATGGGTTTTATGAATTAAATATTCATCTCGCATATTCATCACACGGAAAAAAGCGTGACCATGCAGAAAGCAAGTTTGAGTAATTGAATCCGTTGAGAACGCGAATGAACATATTAATGTCATTTGTAGGAATATGATAAAATTATTTTAGGCGATTCCCGACATGTTGACCAGGAAATTGTTATTATGAAATTCCCTCACAATTATTCAATCTGCATAACAAACTGCAGAATTAGAGTTTAAGTGTCGTCCCAGCGTGGCCGCTTTGCATATAATCGTCCCTTAAAAGGGGGGGGGGGGATCTCGTCACGAAATCACGAAGATCATTTTTCGATTTCACGAGTCACGAAAAAC